GCAAATAAATAAATAAATAATGGCCTTCAAACGACAGGAAAGGAGATTCCATCTGAACATTCATTGTGAGAGCTGTTTGTCAGTGGAACTCTCTGTGGTGGAGGCTCCTTCTTTGGAGACTTTTAAACAGAGGCTGGATGGCCATCTGTCGGGGGTGCTTTGAATGCAATTTTCCTGCTTCTTGGTAGAATGGGGTTGGACTGAATGGCCCATGAGTCCCTTCCAGTTCTATGATTGTACGAAAGAGTTCTCCCCTGTGTGAATTCTTTGATGTGTCAGAAATGTTGATTTTTCACTGAAGTTGTTTCCACACTCCAAGCGCTGAGATGGTTTATTTCCTGAGTGGGTTGCTTGGTGGCGAATCAGGCTTCCTTTGTAAGGGTAACTCTTCCCACACTCCGCACACTTATAAGGTTTCTCCCCCGTATGTATACTTTTATGTGACACCAGGGCCGACTTCGAGCTGAACCTGTTTCCACACTCCAAGCACTCAAAGGGTTTCTCCCCTGTGTGGGTTGCATTATGGCGAATGAGGTGTATCTTCTGCAGGAAGCTTTTCCCACACTCCAAGCACTGGAAGGGTTTCTCCCCGGTGTGAGTCCTTTGGTGACAATTGAGGCTTACTTTTTGACTGAAACACTTCCCGCACGTCGCACATTTGAAAGGTTTCTCCCCTGTGTGAGTTCTTTTATGTGACAAGAGGATGGATCTCTGCCGGAAGCTTTTCCCACACAGCAAGCATTTAAATGGCTTCTCCCCGGTATGGATTCTTTCATGTGACGTGAGGATTGACTTCTGGTTGAAGCTTTTCCCACAATCCGCACATCGAAATGGTTTCTCCCCTGAGTCACTGAGGCTTCCCTCCACAATGAGTGTTTCCGCACTTTCCAAATACTGAAATGGTGTTTCACCTGTATGAGTTGCTTGATGGCAAGCGAGGCTTATTTCATGCGTGAATCTTATCCCACACTCTAAGCAGTTAAATGATTTCTCTCCTGTGTGAGTTAAATGATGAGTTGTGAGGCTTATTTTATGCCTGAACCTTTTCCCGCACTCCGAGCATCCAAAGGGTTTCTCCCCTGTGTGAATTCTCTGATGCGACAGAAGGGCCGATTTTTCGCCGAAGCTGTTTCCGCACTCCAAGCACTGAAAAGGTTTCTCTCCCGTGTGAGTTCTGTAATGGCGCGTGAGGTGCGCCTTTTGAGAGAAGCCCTTCCCACACTCCGAGCACTGAAACGGTTTCTCCCCAGTGTGAGTCGCCTGATGAGAATCGAGGCGGGATTTGCGAATGAAACTTTTCCCGCACTCCGGGCACTGGAAGGGTTTCTCTCCCGTGTGCGTTCTGCAATGACGATCGAGGTGTGGCTTTTGCGAGAAGCTCTTCCCGCACACCACGCATTGAAAGGGCTTCTCTCCAGTGTGAATGGCGAGATGGCGACTAAGGTTTGTTTTCTGACCAAATGTTTTCCCACATTCCCAGCATTTAAATGGTTTCTCTCCTGTGTGCGTGGCCACGTGACGAGTGAATTGTTTCTTTCCGGTGAAGCTCTTTCCACATTCCAGGCATTTAAAGGGTTTCTCCCCTTGATGTGACCTCCACCTGAAGCTCTTGACACACCTCAGGTAGTTAAAGGCTTTCTCTCTCATTTGGGAAACCAGAGACTTCCTTAAACTGGCTTTGAAGGATTTCTCCTCTGGGTGAATTCGCCTGTGAACAATAAATCTTGCTTTGCATCTAAAGCTTTTCTCACACAGGGGAGAAAAATATTTACTTCTTTCTTTCCCTTCCTCTTTTATTTCTTCGACTGAGTTGTCACCCTTCTGGGAAGCAGGATACGTGTTCCTTCTCTTGCCGTCGGTGTCTGATTTTCTTTCGTTCCTTGTCATCTGCTTCTGCTTCTTCCTTTGCAGGAATGCCCTGCTAGGTTCCCTGTTGTTCTCAATCACTTGCTCATCCCAACCTGAAAAAGAAAAGCACAACTACTCATAGCCCAACTGAGATATAGAGACATAAGTCAAAGACATAACACATCTAATCACCTCTCAACAAAAGATTGCCCCAGGCACCAACAAGCCATACCAAACAACTGCCAGGCCATC